GATCAGACCATCTGCGCATGCGCACAAAGCTTTAATTTACTGAGCCGTGGTGCGTTCACTTACTAAAGGAAATTAAAGAACGATCTGTCTGAAAGGAAAAATGGTAATTTTATTTATCTTTTTTTTAAAATACATATTATAAAACTAAATACAGAGTGTTGGAAAGTGGAACACAGGATAAAAGAAGCAAAAAAATGGGGGGAAAAGCTGACGTAGCAAACGTTGTCTACCCTATTTAAACAATAGCTAAGAGCTAAAGTAGCAAAAAGCTAGTTCAAGATGAAAGTAGCAAAGTGGAGCTAAAGGTTAGCTAAACTAAAAATAGACAATAGCAAAAAAAAGTAGCAAAAAGCTAAAGTATAACAAAGGTTTATGTCTTAGTTGTCCTACAGCGACACCTACAGGCTGTAACTACAGAACAGTTCGGCAGCGGGACCTTTATGCCTGTTAGCAAAATATCTCATGAGTCAATCAACGGATTCTAATGAAACTTTCAGAAAATAATCAGAGGATTTGGATCTACATTTGATAAACATTTGGAGTCACCTGGATAAAATATGGCCGCGTAAACCAATCATTCTTAGAAAATACAAAATGGGTTTTAACTCAGCCTTTGTAGTAGATTTTAAAACAAAGTTTATTGTGGTGGTAACTAAGACTTCTCTTCAACTTAAGATGTGAAAGATAAGTGATTGCAAAAGTTATGTGTTTAAAACGTTGCTACTTTAGGAGTCGCTTGTTAGCAAAATATCTATATTTAATTAGTGCACCTTTCAGTGATTATTTTCTAAGAGTTTCATTAAAACCTAAAGTGGTTTATAATATAATAATTTAAGCTTTTACTTTATTTTTTTAATTCACCAAGTCAGAACATGCTTTATTTACGAACCAAAACAGAATCAGTGCAGTCACGTGGTTGCCTGTGGTCACGTGACGAGCTCTAACCTGAACCCGGAAGTAAGCGTGCAGAGTGCGTAGAGCAGCGGCTGTTCCGCGGTTCGGTGCTGGTTTTAACGGTTCTGCTCGGTCGGTTGTGTCTCGGTGACGGTGAACGGGATGGACGGGTTCCTAAAGCTGATCCTGGCCGCGTCCGTGGTTCTGATGGGGGTTCGGAACCAGGTGGACTGCAGCTCCTTCAACATGAAGAGGGTTTCTCTCGCCAAGGTGAGTTTTACCGTCAGCATGCGGAGGAAGAGGAGGAGTTRTTTCACTTTAAATGTTCAGTTTTATACAATTTAAACTGTGAATGAGTTGTTGTCAGAGTTTTCACTCAGTTCTTTTGTTGAGGCTGAACAGGTTGAACCAGAACCTTTTGGACCTGGACAGTTAAAAGTTTTGACAGCTTCCTGTTTTCTGCAGGTTTCTGGTTTCAGCTGGAAAAACTGCGGCGAGCCCGATGATCCAGCTGTGCTGAAGAGCATGAGTCTGTCCCCAGACCCCATCTCCATCCCCGGGACCCTGACAGCCTCCGCATCTGGATCCACACAGGTCCAGCTGGAGTCCAAGCTGTCTGTGAGTCATTGTGTGACTCTTCACAATCATCCACGATCATTCACGATCATCCACGATCATCCACGATCATTCACAATCATCCACGATCATCCACAATCGATCACGATCATTCACGATCATCCACAATCGATCACGATCATTTACAATCATCCACGATCATCCACGATCATTCACGATCATTCACGATCATCCACGATCATTCACGATCATCCACAATCGATCACGATCATCCACGATCATTCACGATCGTCCACGATCATCCACATAATTAAGATCAGTTTTTCTTCTCTACGTTTTTTGGCGTCTAATTTGTTTCAAACTTTTTGTTCTATTTCAACAAATCTTACATCAAAACGTTCAGCTCTTTTATGTGAAGGGTGCGATGACTTTAGGTGCTTCAGCTATTTATACTTTTTTAGCTATTTCCCTTTTTTAGCCACTTTTTTGCCATTGAAAATGAATGGGGCTGTTTTCAACATCCTTAAAATCTTTTAATATATTTCTAAATCTTTTCAGCACCTTACACATTTTGTTCTGGTTCTGCTCTTTTTCACTTTCTTGTGCTAATTTTAGCTGCTTTTTGCTAATTTTAGCTTTTTTCTGCTATTTCAGCTAAAATTCTGCTTCTTGCGCTTATTTTTTGTGCTATTTATACTTCTTACAGATGCTTTCTTCTTCAGCTATTTGCTGAAATTTTAGATAATGTTTAGCTGCTATTAGCTAAAGTTAGCTTTTCTAAGCTAAATACACATTTTTTGTAGCTATTACAACTTTTTTCAGCAAAATTCAGCAAACTTGTGCTAATTATGCTTCCCTATTCTAATAAAAAAAAATCCAGCTACTTTTTAGCTGTTTTACTGAAATTTCAGCTGTTTTAGCCATTTTACTACAAATTGACACTTGTTTGTACTTTTATTCATTTTTTTCTGCTAGTTTTACATTTTTTACAACATTTTCTCTATCTGGGTGCTAATTTCAACTTATGCCTGCTAGCTTTAGCCTATTTTATGCTAATTTTAGCTAATTTATGCTACTTTAGCTATAGATCTGCTTCTTTCTGCTATTCTTCTGCTTTTTTCTGCTACCTAGTGCTATTTAAGCTTCTCACAGACGTTTGCAGCTAGATTCAGTTATTTTAGCTCTTGTGCTTCGTTTTACTGTTTTTCTGCAAAGTTGGGCCTTTTTTTTTTGCTTCTTTCAGCTTTTCAGAGTGAGCTCACTTTAATAATTTTCGTATTAAATATTTTCAGCTCAGTTTCAGCTGTTTTCAGCAGAAGTTTTCAGCAGAAGTTTTCACACCAGTGTTTTCACAGGGAGTTTCTCTCGTTGTATTTGTTTCTAATCAAAGTGTGTTTATCGAAGCGATGGGCTCCTGCAGGACCGCGGCTCGGCTCTGTGTGACCCTGCAGGCTGTTAATCAGGGACTGGATCAGATGAGGGATGACTCTGCTCATGCGTCTGTAGGAGTGTCCTGCTGACATGTGCAGCGTGGCGTCGGCGCTGCAGAGGGAGAGCAGCAGATCAAACCTGCTGGGCCAGWCCTCGGACTGAAGCCAGATCTGGTTTTTCCTCATCAGCTCGTGTTCTGAYAGCATCTGTTTGTTTAGTTTCTGCAGCTTTTTGTGTTTCTGCAAACAGGTTCTGTTTGTTTTGTTGTCTGTTAACGACGTCAACAGGAAGTTTAAAAACAACACAGCTGAAGATAAGACTTAATACAGACGTGACCACATCTGCTGAAACTAACAGATCCTTCAGATGAAGTGCTTCTAATCACTTCCTGTTTTTATTTACTTCCTGTTTTTATTTACTTCCTGTTTTTATTTACTTCCTGATTCTTTATACAGTAAACTCTGTAATCTAAAGGAAAAACTTCCTCAATCTGAAGGTCTCAGTCCTGACTCACTTGTAGCTGAAGGTCTCAGTCCTGACTCACTTGTAGCTGAAGGTCTCAGTCCTGACTCACTTGTAGCTGAAGGTCTCAGTCCTGACTCACTTGTAGCTGAAGGCTTGTAGCTGAAGGTCTCAGTTTTGACCCACTTGTAGCTGAAGGTCTCAGTCCTGACCCACTTGTAGCTGAAGGTCTCAGTTTTGACCCACTTGTAGCTGAAGGTCTCAGTCCTGACCCACTTATAGCTGAAGGTCTCAGTCCTGACTGGTCCTGGTTGGTCTCTGCAGCTGAACCTGACCCTGGAGAAGGAGGTGGCCATGATCTGGGTGAAGATCCCCTGCGTGGACGAACTCGGCAGCTGTCACTATAACAACGCCTGTGACCTCCTGGACCAGCTGTTCCCCGCGGGTCAGGACTGTCCAGAACCGCTGCACAGCTACGGCCTGCCCTGCCACTGCCCCTTCAAGGCCGTGAGTCACAGATGGTCGCAGTTTGTTCCGGTCGTGATGGTTCTGTTCACTGATGGTTCTGTTCACTGATGGTTCTGCTCCTCAGGGCTCGTACTCGCTGCCATCGTCGGACTTCGACGTGCCCTACTTGGACCTGCCCTACTGGATGACCAACGGGAAGTACCGGGTCCAGGGGGTTCTGGGCCACGAGGGCAAAGAGCTGGGCTGCCTGCAGGTGACTTTGTGCATCGAGTCGTCCTGAAGGAGCCCTGCAGGGAGACCAGGAACCCATTAACAAAACTAAACATCCAGGACTTTTAGAAACAAACTAAATTAATGTAACAGTGTTTAAACAAAACACTAATAATCTGATTTAATTCAAACTATACTTTTTAATTGTTATTTCATTTTAAGGAGTAATGTTTTCAAATATGAAATGATCAGAAACCAGCAGGAAAAATGTTTTTCCTCTCATTTTAAAATGTTTTATTTTCACCTTTTTAATATTAAAACATCTAAATAAAATTGTGCAATAAATTTAAAAAAAAAACTAGAAAATTTCTGAAAAAATTTAAAGGGGTTTGCTCAAGTTTGCCTAACTTGAAACCAAAACTTTGGCCTAGGAAAACCAGAAACCCCTAAGAACTGCCTAAAATCAAAATGTCTTCAGAGGTTAACAAAGGTCATCAATATCTATTTTGGAGCAACCAAATCCTGCTTTAATCAGAATCACTGTGCAAATTACAACTTTTAGTAATAAAGTAGATGTTGCGCTCTTATTTTGAAAATCCGAAAGGGTTGCATCCGGTTCGAATTGCGTCGGCCAGGATTGCGCCCTCTGCTGGTCCGGATGTCCGGTTTTTAGTTAATTTCTCCGCAGTAGTAATTTGAATCAAAAAGTTGTTGAGTAGCACACTTCTCCACTCCATTACGGTCATTTTGATGTAACGGTTGTGGGGGTACGTGCTGCGGTTCGAGCTGCATTAAAAGTGGTGGAAGAAGAATAAAGAAATAAAAAATAAAGACTAGGTGTAAAGTAATGGATTTGCCATTGCATGACAAGCCCCAATTAAGAGTTTTCAATCAGTGCAGCATTAAATTTGCTTCACAAACCGTTCATTATAATTAATAAAATTAGTTATTTTAAAATTAATATTTTTCATTCCTGATAAACTGAGCCTGACTTGAGTTAAACTGGATTATTATTGGATGGATTGTTTATGGGTTTAATCCAGGAACAGGAGGACTTTTATTTTGAAATACTGCAATGTAATTAAACCTGCCAAATGGTAGTTTTTATGATCCCAGAAAATATTTTTACATCATTTTCATGCTTTTTGTTTTTATCCTTTTGTGCAAAGATACATGTTTTTATTTTGTTAATCACATATTTCTTTTTATTTTTACTTTGCTTCTCAAATAACAGATTTTATTTTAAATGAAAATTTATTGATTATAGTGCCTGCTCTGATCTGTTAGGAAAAATCCTATTTTTTTAAGATTAAACTTGTTTTTAATAATTCATTTGTATGATTGTGGCAATAAATGATGTTTTAGAGTCATATATGAAACTGATTGCACACACTGAGAAATTCTGAATAAACTTTATTTCACACGTTGCTGCAGTAATTTATTATTTGTTGTTTACGCCGCTAATCTGAGCTCTCTGACATTCGAGTGAATTGTGTACAAAATGTAAAACTACTTGCATTTAATCTGTATAGACATTTCAAGTGTGAAAAAAACCTCACATTTGTAAGTTTGAAGGTAAAATTAGCTATTAAAAACAAATATTTAAGTTTTTATGATTAAATTTGTAAAGCTTTTAAAACCTCTGATTGGTTCATATATCTCTGAATTACYCTAATTACATTAATGAGAATTTCTCATTTATGATACATAATCAAGTAATATTTGGTATACCTGTACGTATATCACTAGCATTATATAGATCACTTCCAGTCTGACAAGTCTATTGAACAGGAGGTCTCACTCAGTCATTAATTTGATAGTCTGTCAACAATAGTCTATTACGAAGAGGTCTCACTCCTGTTTAGTTTTGTTTATCGTTGGGATAAATCAGAATTTATTATTCAAGAGAAATTACAGCTGTAACCGTTCAAGTAAAATTAAAGAAAAAAAAATCTCACTAGAATGAAGTATAGACACTGCAGAAAAATAAAATACACTTATAAAACAAACAGTATAAAATTAGGTTAGTAAGTTACTACCAAGTCTGCTCAGAGATCGTTTATTAACAAGAGGTCTCACTCCTGTTTGGTTTACACGTTTCTGAGCAGTAGAGTCACTTTACTGCACAAACTGTTCATCTAATCAAGTTTTACAATCTTTTATCAGTTAAAATGTATTTTTGATCTGGTTTTGAGACAGATATACTAAGATCACAATGTTCTCTTGTTCTGTCAAACTGCAGATTAATTTGAAAAGATTCAGTATAATCTAATATTTTAAGATTAATTTTTTTGATTTGATCATAAATCTGTTTCATACAACTTTCCTTTGCATTAAAATATTAATGTATTTAAATTACTTATCAAATTGTCTGATAGGACTCAACCTCAACTTTGTCCCTGCTGCAGCACCCCCCCCCATCAAGGGTCCATCTTTACACCTCCTGTGATCTGCATCATTTCCTTAATGTATAATCACAATCAGCTGCTCATTTCACATAACTGATTCAGAGGCTCAAAACAAGTGTTCAAATGAAAAAACTTTATTGTTTCAAACAGAAAACATGACTGACCTTTAAAACAGGTTAGGAACAGCAGCAGCAACAACACGACAGGTAAACTGGCTTTAAACATGGCTGGATCTAAATAGACCAACATTCTTAACAACAACAAAAGTAAACAACACAAGTAATCTGTCAATTAACTAAACTAACAACCTGGCTGTCAATAACTAAACACAAACGAAACCTGTCACCAAACAAATGTAAACAAAGCAAACCAACAACCTGTCATAGCTGCAAAAACAAAAACAGCACCTCTGTCACTCGTCAGTACTCCTCTCCCTCCTCCTCTCCCTCTCCCTCCACAGAGTCCACCCCCACCTCCTCGTAATCCTTCTCCAGAGCAGCCATGTCCTCCCGGGCCTCGGAGAACTCGCCCTCCTCCATGCCCTCCCCCACGTACCAGTGGACGAAGGCCCTCTTGGCGTACATCAGGTCGAACTTGTGGTCCAGACGGGCCCAGGCCTCTGCGATGGCCGTGGTGTTGCTCAGCATGCACACGGCCCTCTGGACCTTGGCCAGGTCTCCACCGGGGACCACAGTGGGGGGCTGGTAGTTGATGCCCACCTTGAAGCCAGTGGGACACCAGTCCACAAACTGGATGGAGCGTTTGGTCTTGATGGTGGCGATGGCGGCGTTGACGTCTTTAGGAACCACGTCTCCACGGTACAGCAGGCAGCAGGCCATGTACTTGCCGTGGCGAGGGTCACACTTCACCATCTGGTTGGCGGGCTCGAAGCAGGCGTTGGTGATCTCAGCCACGGTCAGCTGCTCGTGGTACGCCTTCTCTGCAGAGATGACCGGGGCGTAGGTGGCCAGGGGGAAGTGGATCCGGGGGTACGGCACCAGGTTGGTCTGGAACTCCGTCAGGTCCACGTTCAGGGCGCCGTCGAAGCGCAGGGAGGCGGTGATGGAGGACACGATCTGACTGATGAGCCGGTTCAGGTTGGTGTAGGTGGGACGCTCGATGTCCAGGTTCCTGCGGCAGATGTCGTAGATGGCCTCGTTGTCCACCATGAAGGCGCAGTCAGAGTGCTCCAGGGTGGTGTGGGTGGTCAGGATGGAGTTGTAGGGCTCCACCACAGCCGTGGACACCTGAGGGGCCGGGTAGATGGAGAACTCCAGCTTGGACTTCTTGCCGTAGTCCACCGACAGACGCTCCATCAGCAGGGAGGTGAAACCAGAACCGGTTCCTCCACCGAAGCTGTGGAAGACCAGGAAGCCCTGAAGACCGGTGCACTGGTCCGCCTGAGGACACAAGGGACAGGTGTTGAAGGAAACTGGACTTAAAGAGACTTTACAAAATGCTGAGTCAGCATTCTAAAATAACAGGATCTCTACAGAACGCTGACAAGACAAAACATTAAAGGGATCCATGATTAGTTGTAACATTAGACTTTATCTGATAAACATTTATTTTAACTGTAAAATAAAGACTAAAAATACTTTAGGCTGTTTAGTTTTGTAAATTTTAAAAAATATATTTTAACAGAAGGAGCCATTTTATTTCCACACAAAGCATTCTGGGTAAATGACGACGTGGATAGGTCCTCGGTGCGAGGCTGCTTTTAAGGCTTTTTTTCCCTCAAAATTTTTTTTTTTTTTTTTGTTGCTGCTGCTCAAAAAATGCTTTTGAACTCAATCCTCGTTTCTACGTGATGGGTCACAAATATATTTCAAAATTTAGTTTAAAAATTATAAAAACTGAACATCCTACAGTGTTTTTACGGTCTTGTTTGAAATAAATGTTTAATTTACATACCAACTTGCGGATCCGGTCCAGAACAGGGTCGATGATCTCCTTCCCGATGGTGTAGTGACCCCGGGCGTAGTTGTTCGCAGCGTCCTCCTTCCCCGTGATGAGCTGCTCCGGGTGGAACAGCTGGCGGTAGGTCCCAGTGCGCACCTCATCTGCAGAAACACACAACTAGAGTTAAAAACACAGGCAGCATTCAGCAGAAATGAGGCCAAGCAGATGAGGAGGTACCGATGACGGTGGGCTCCAGGTCCACGAASACGGCTCTGGGGACGTGCTTCCCAGCTCCGGTCTCACTGAAGAAAGTGTTGAAGGAGTCGTCTCCTCCTCCAGAGGTCTTGTCGCTGGGCATCTGACCGTCCGGCTGGATGCCGTGCTCCAGACAGTACAGCTCCCAGCAGGCGTTTCCAATCTGGACACCAGCCTGGCCCACGTGGATAGAGATGCATTCACGCTGCGGAGAAAGGAACAGAAACACAATTTACTAACCCTGATGTATTTACCTTTAAATATACCATTTATTTAATCAGGAATGTGCACATTAAAACAATCTTATAATTCTGTATTAATGCAAATGACAGATTATAGCATRGTTGCTAATTTACATCTGTAAATTTAAGGTTTGACAAATTTTGTTTCACTAATGGCTGTGAGTGGCTTTTATTTCTTTACTCACAAATTAAAGAAGGTTTACAAATTACTGAGAATGCTCTACAGTGTGTGCGTGTAATATATATATATATATATATATATATGTATGTATATGTGTGTGTGTGTTCAGGCTGAAAAGGCTTGAGCTGTTCTGGTTTTGAGTAAAGATGGCGACGAGAACAAATCCGAATCACAACCGAACTTCTCGGCAGGGGTCGAAACAGAAGCCAACTTCAGCCTCGGGGTCACGTGACCATTCGGATTATAACGGCGCGCCCTGAGACCGTTACTCCGCGTTTAAAATTAACCGCTGAAACGGCAGTTGGGTCGATTAAACGTCACTTTACTCATTATTTCTAACTCACGGGCATAAAAAATGAAACCAATTACGTAAAATTTGATCTAGTCAGGCTCTACAGCCCGTTAAAAGTCTCGTCTTTGTTCACCAACGACGCCAAAACCGCGCTTACGATGCGACGACGTCGAATAAAAACTAGAAATGAACCACAGAAAACGGACGTTTAGCATAAAAAGACCGCTAATTTGAAGCAACGCGGTTGTCCTTGCGCATTTTTTTCCCTAGCATGTAACTGCGACAAATCACGTCATGAAATAAATAAAGATTTACGAATTAAACTTGACATATAACATCGTTTAGTCCTCAAATAAAACGTCCTTACCATTTTGGATGAGTTGTTTATCAGGAGATTCAACTGAAAACGTTCGATGAAACCTTGCAACGACTGCTAGGATGTCGATGTGAAGGAAGAAATGGCGACTTCGTTCTCCGGTCAAGCCTTTTTATACAACGGGCGTGCTGTGACGTCACGAGTGGGTGGAGCTTTGAAGTATGGCAAGCTGTTTTAGCATAAAATCGAATTCACGACACTGACGTTCCAGATATCTGAAATTGAATCATGACAAGTCAAAATTGTTATTTTAGCTATCTCTAATTACATTTTGACTAGTCAAAATACCTATTTGCGATATTTTTATTACATTTAGACTAAATGACGTCAGATTTACCAGTGAGTTCAATGGAGGCTTCAATTCAAGATATCTTAAAAGGAATTTTTAACAAAAAAATTAAAAAAAATACAAAAAATACAATTCGAGACATCTCTATGTTAGTTGTGACGAGTCATTAGTCGGACAATATATACACAGATGTAAWTTTTTTAAAACTAAGCCCTTATTTTGTGTTTATTTTAATGAATTTTTACAATTCAAAAAAGCTTAAAATTACATCATAGGAAAATCTGCTGTAAAATTAAAATTCAACTGTGAATCTACAATTTCCACAGTCATGAAACAAAGAAAACTCTTTTAAGGTGGTGTGTCCAAACTTTTGTCTTGTACTGTATACATACATATATACTTTAAAACCTTACAAGCTCATGTACGATGAGTTTATGTAAGATGAATAACATTGAGCAGAAAGTTTATTTTACCTAAATAATGAACAAGAACAAAATTAAAACACAAACATTGAAAGCCTTCAAATAAAATACAGTRAAAATTTAAATAKTAACTGGGKCCACATAAAAAGAAAATTTCTCAGTACTGTTATGAATACATTAATTGTGCTTTTTGTGAATTGCAAAGTTTCAAAGAATCTCTTAAMAAAGCCAAATCATTAAGAAACACAGTAAACACTGGTTTTGTTTTGGTATATTTAGACTTGTGAACAAAGAATTTGACCAAAATAAACAGATTATTTATTTTAAAAAACTAATTTGTTTTGTCCTCCATTATAACACCAAATTTCACTATTTTATCATTTAAAATGGGTGTTTCTGCAACACTGATTGACAAAACACATTCAGCTTTTTACTGAACAAAGTATTCAGTGAGAATATTTCATTCATTCAGATCTAGGATGTGTTATTTGAGTGTTCCCTTTATTTATATTATTGTTATTTTTATATATTGGGAAGCTGACGGTGACACGCGAACTTAGGTTTAGAAAACAAAACATTCTCCAAGATGAACTCAATAAGTGCTGTCCCTCCATGGTTATATCCAAATATTAAAACTGATATGAAA